TTATAAATGCTTTCATCCATCAAACAAAATTTTTTATCTACCGGCATGTTGTCTTTGATGAGCAAATTCTTCCTTATAAGCATACAAATAATCCTTTCATGAAAACGGCAAAGCCATTGGTTATAAATATTTTTGACACTTGGTTACCACGTGCTGATATTCCTCTGTCTGCAGGGACACATTCGACATCCTCTATAGATCCAGGTTTAAGTCGCTTATTACACCCTCAAGCTACAACAACAATCCTACAAAATTCCATGTCATCTGAACCACAGCCCTTTCTCAATGTAGTACCTCAACCTACCACAGGAAATTTTGAAAATGACTTTCCCGACATTGATGACACCATTAACACATCTAAGAATCCATCACCACATGAAAGACACACACTTGAAACCATAGAAATATCACAAATTGAAACCCAACAGCCAGCGACCACATTGCCAGGATCACCAAATCCAGCACCTGCCTCTCCAGGAAACATACATCCTAAGGTTACTAGAGCAAAACTAGGTGTGGTAAAACCTAACCCTAAGTATGCGTTGACCATAATCACCTTCGCCAATGTACCACGTGAACCACAAAATCTCAAAACAGCCTTAGCACACCCTGGTTGGAAAGCAGCAATGCTCGAAGAGCTTGCTGCTCTTCATTAAAACAACACATGGAAACTCGTTCCTCACACATCTAACATGAATGTCATTGGTTCAAAATGGGTATTCAAGCTAAAACTCAAGCCTGATGGGACTTCAGATCGACTCAAAACAGGTTTGGTTGCAAAAGGATATCATCAAGTTGATGGAGTAGACTATACTAAGAATTTTCTCCCGTGATCAAACCAAGAACAATTCGGATGATTTTAACTATCGCTCTTGTTAAGCGGTGGTCTATTCGACAACTAGACGTTAAAAATATCTTTTTACATGGCCTAATTTCCGAAGATCTTTATATGCAGCAACCTCCAGGACTGGCAGATCCGGAACATCCAACATATGTCTGTAAACTACAAAAAGCACTATATGGGTTGAAACAAGCACCACGTGCTTAGTTTGATCGATTTAGTGCTTTTCTTGTTAAATTTGGATTTTTTTTTGTAGTTTAGCTGATCCTTCATTATTTGTTTTTCACTTTGACTTTGGTTCACTAATCTTACTATTTTATGTGGATAACATATTGCTTACAGGATCTACTCCAGAACTTGTTGAAAAGTTCATTACGTTATTAAGCAGTGAGTTCGCAATGAAAGATTTGGGACCAATTCATCACTTTTTTGGAATGGAAATCACGACTACAAATAAGGGGCTTCATGTATCATAGTCTCACTATGCCCTTACGATACTTGAACACTCCAATATGGTAGATAGCAAGCCAATGAGTACTCCTCTTGAAGCTAAAACCAGCATTTCTTCCAACGAAATTCTCTTGGAAGACCCAATTTACTATAAAGGTCTTATTGGAGCATTACAATATCTTACTCGCCCAGATATTTCATTTAGTGTTAATTATGTATCCCAATTCATGCATTCTCCCACAATGACACACTTAAAAATGGTTCAATGTATCCTACGTTATGTCAAAAGAACAATTGAAATGGGTTTACATTTTTCCTCCCATACTACACTTGATCTTTTTGCTTTCTCAGATGCAGATTGGACAGTGTGTCCTACTACAAGATGATCAACCACAGGATACTGTACATTCCTTGGCGAGAACCTCATCTCATGGTGTACAAAAAAACAACATACCATTTCACAATCAAGCACGGAAGCAGAGTACTGCGCCAGGCTAACACAGCAGCCGAACTCACTTGGATGACATTCATCCTCAAAGATCTTCGAATTGCAATAACATCTCATCCCAAACTCTACTGTGACAATCTCAGTGCTCTTTATATGACAGTTAACCCTGTCTTTCATGCCCGAAGCAAACACATAGAGTTGGATTATCATTTTGTGCGAGAACAAGTTGCACGTGGAATGCTTATCACTCAACATATCTCCACTAATAACCAAGTTGATGACCTCTTCACAAAACCAATGTCAAAAAAAGCCCTTCAATATTTTCGAAACAAACTTTGCCTCCAACCCTTGCAAAGCTTGCGGAAGGGTATTAGCAAACCGCAGCTCAGCACACTCAATAAGGAAGCACAAGATTCTCGGAGAAAAAAAGAGAAAGACTCACAATATTGCCAAAATCAGTGGAGAGACGTTGAGGGGTATTAGAAGTAAATCTGAGATATGAGGACCATTTGTACCAGATTTTATGGGATTCACTTTATTGTATTACTAGTTTAAATATTCTCTTGTAATGTCTAATGGTTCATGTTGTCAATCATTGAATAAGAGACATATCAATTTAAGCTTTCTTCTTCCTCTCTTTTATCCCTTTTTCTTCTCATTTTTATTGATAGATAGATGAGAGAGAGGGGAAAGGTGAGAGAAAGAAATGGAGAGTGAACTGGAAAATAAAAATCACTCATCCCTAAAAAATGTTTTCCTCGTTTTTGAGGAAAATATATAACCAAATGTTTCAGGGAAAAAATATCGATACAACACCCAAAAAGTAAGAATTTTGGTGGAAAAATGACATTTTCCATTAAAAATAAAATCAATCAAACACACTCCTAATTCAATTTAATTGAATGAAATTTGAATTGTATACATTTTCTCTGATATTCATAAATTCTCGTACTTAATATTTAAAAATCAAGAAGTCCAAATTATTTATATCCTTGTGCAAATTAAAGAACTATTTACTGCCTATATTTCTAGTTTTCTTAGGAGACAACATAAATTAGCACGTTCATTGTTTTATTTTATTACTATGTCTAAAGATAGGAAGAAAAAAGTGGACAAAAACGGTGACGGAAGAGAGCAAATGAAATGCATTGAAGATTTCATTCAGAGGTTGATTCACAAGCTAACACCACACTTAAATGGATAAAATGTGCTTTCTTATCGGCTTTGTAGTTAACTAGGGATTCTATTCGCAGTGGTTATTTTGTATCATTCTCATTTACTGCTGCGCTAGCAATTTTTTATTTTTTTAAATGGGTTTGACTAAAACCTGTCGGGAAGATGCCAACAAAATTTCACTTATGGCGTAGCACCGCCCATTGATAACTGCATTTGTTTTTCGAGCATAGTAAAAAATACACATGTATGTATCTAATTAATTGCTCGAATGAAATACTGCGACTTTTTATAGATTTTCATATGTATTAACATGAAATAAAGTTTGAATTCATATATTAAATTTTCAAAAGTGCACACATATGCATTTAGTTCATCGTTCCAATGAGATATTGTTACTTTTTTTCAGAGAAAAGAACCAAAATGCGACTTTTTTCATATAAAAGTGACAGTATTTACATTCTCATTGAGCAAACACCTTGCATGCATCAATGTAATTGATTCAAAAATTTTTCTTTTTCATACATATTAACATAAAACAGAGATTGAATTTGTATGTTCAAATTTTCAAAAATGTATACATATGCATTAGTTAATTGCTCCAAGGGTGTAGTGTAACTTTTTTTTTAAGAAAAGTGACAGAATTTACATTTTACTTGTGTCAAACACTTTACATGCATTAATGTAATTGATTCAAAGTTTTTTTTTTTCATATGTATTACTATAAAATAAAGCTTGAATTGATATGTTCAAATTTCCAAAAATACATATGTATGCATCTAGTTAATTGCTCAAATGGTGTGGTGTAACCCCCTTTTTTTAAGAAAAATGATAGATTCAAAGAAAATTGAATTCACATTCCTCTTGTGCCAAACACCTTGCATGCATCAATGATTTAATTGATTCAAAATTTTCGTGTTCATATGTATTACCACCTAACATAGCTTGAATTGGTATGTTCCAATTTCAAAAAAATGCACACGTATGCATGAAGTTAATTGCTCCAAGGACATAGTGCAACTTTTTCTTCTCCTTTTGTCAAACACATTGTATGCATCAATGATTTAATTGATTCAAAGCTAATTTTTCATATGTATTAACACAATTCATTTCCTCTAAAATTCAACAATGTTATTTTTAAACATGTTTCCAATCACAACAACAAAATTATCAAAAAGAAACTTCATAAATATTAATTATTTAGCTGAAAATTGATAACTACTATTGTTATTTTCATAATCTATGCAATGAGAATATTAAACTATCTTAAAATAGCAAAGTTGAGGAACTAATTAAACAATGAGCCAAAAAAATAAAAATAAAAATCTGTAATTTTGTTTGTGTATTACAAGAAGATTTTCTAGATCATTTCTCAGAGCTTTCAATGTTGAAGTGAGTTTGATCTTTTTCAAATTTTTGAATACCGAACGAATTTGTGGAAGATTTCTTCTTTCTTCTTCCAATTTTCCCTTGATTTTTCCAGTTTGGTGGCTGATTTTTGTGATAGCTGTGATTATTAGGTTTGAGCATATTTTGTAGGTTCAAATATACCTAATTACCATTTAATTCAACTTTATCATTTTTTTTTTCAAAACTATCCAAAAATATAGGGTATTTGTGTAAATATCCCAAGATTATATTAGACTGAGATTCAAAAATAAGCCCAATAATTAACGTTTGAAATTTATAGATATTGGAGGCAATATATTCCCATGACCCAAATGGCAACAATCAAATTTCTTCCATAAAAAAAAGGAGTGAAATGTTTCCAAAATCACTGAACTTATACATTAGTCACGGACTACTCACTGAATTATAAAATACTTTAAAATGCTCACTGAACTTAGTCCATCATGACTCCCAAAAATTTGTTAACCTTTTTGCTGAAATGGAGGCTTATTTTCAATGGTAGAATCGTATTAGCAATCCGTATTCAGAATCAAGTTTCAATAGTTTTTGAAGTAGATATCCATCTAGGAGCAAAAAATGGATGGGGCATAGTATTTGATCATGCCATTGGAATTTTGATTGGTAAAACATCGTTATTGGATATAGAGTTACAATTTTACACGAACACTAGGGGGTACAATGAAGATTCAAGGGAATAGATACTCAAATTGGAGATGGGATTCAGATAGGTACTGGGTTAAGATTTTGGGCAATGTTAAAATTGGAGAAAATGCAAAAATTGGAGCAGGATTAGTTGTTTTGGAGGAAATTCCAGCATGTGCAACATCAATTGAAAATCCTGAGTAATTAGATTGAGATAAACCAAAGAAAGCTCTACTTATGAGTTTTATTTTAATAATGTCATTGTATACGATGTAACATTTCATTTAAACTTGAGCAGCTTCTTTTGCTTTCCTTTTGGCTTTCGGTATTCTGCCAAGCCTCCGATCGGGTAAATAATAACTCAAATGTGTTACACCAACATGAAAATTGCTAACTTATCACTTTTTTGAATTTGTGTCCCTTTTTTTAGTATGTCACTTTTTATTAAATTTTAATCATTTTTTAATATTTGTTACTTTTGTTGTCAATTTTTTGAAATTTCTATCAATTTTTGAGTGACAAACATCATTTTTTTTTAGTCGCCTTCATGAATTTTCAATAACTTTTTTGTAACAAACGTCACTTTTAATAAGAGTGAGATTGTAAAAAATGACACTAAACTTTTAAAAATGACATTGTGTCACTTTTTTAAAAAAAACCCGACAATTTTATCACTTTTTTGAGTGTGCCACTTTTTTCTGAATTTCTTTTCACTTTTTAAAATTTTTTATCACTTTTTTGAATAACAAACATAGGTTTTGATTGGTGTTTTGTCATTTTTTTTAAAGTATTTGTCACTTTTTTGAATTTATATCACTTTTAAAGTGTGTCACTATTTTTTTGAATGTTGTCACTTTTTTTTTAATTTGTGTCACCTTTTAAAAAAACCTAAAATAGTGACAATTTTTTGTGTAAAAAAAAGTGACATTGTGTCACTTTTTCATTTTACACAGTATTTTTTACTTCCTAAAAATCTTTCACATGATTTTTCAACACATCCATAATTTTAAGGGTATTTTTGTAAGTACCCCTTTGAATAATTCTCCATATATAAGGGATAGTTTCACAAGGGCCTTACATGCTAGCGGGCCCCACATGTATTTTTTTAAAAAAAAATTTGCACGAGCCCCATCATGTGTGTTGTCCCCCCTGTAAAAAAATTCTGTAGTCCAAGCATTGTTCATATTTTTTCCATTTTCATTCTTTAGCTCATTTTCAACTATACATTTTTCAATAAAATAATATTTTTCATTATATCAATAATTTTTCCTTCTTTTTCAACCACATATTCTCCATCACATCAACAAAAAATAAATTCTTGACCCAAAATGTGCACCAAACATGGGCTAGAAATGGAAGAAATATGTAATAATCACGTCATATCACTATTATTGCGTAATATAAATCTCAAATGATTCACTAATGAAAGAAAAATAGGGAAAGGAGTCGACCGTCGATAAAAGAAAAGAAAATGCCAAATTCATCGAGTCATTATAGTGACAATTAATTCATATAAAAGAAGATGGCGTGTGTGGGCTTCCTTTTTATTTGCTAAAATTATAAGTTGATCGTAGAAATGAGTTGTAGATAAGTAAATAATGTGTGGATCCTATCATTCCTATGAAAGACGTAACTAAAATTAATGTTTGACATTAAGAAGTAACTTTTTAACAACCTAAAAGAAAATCCAAACGAAGGCTTGGTGATCAATGATTCGTTATATTTGTGGATTTTACAATCATAATGTAATATTTGCTTATTTTCATTACTTTTATTAGGCTAATTAGTGTATTTCACAATCATAATGTAATATTTGCTTCTCTTCGTTACTTTTATTAGGCTATTGGGAGTGTGTGGCTTATTTTGAACAATTATGGTACTTATACTATTACACTTGACAGTAATGATTGACAATTTGGTATTTTCAAAATTCG